CCCTAAAAAATGTTTTGACCCGTAAAATCCCCTAAACACTGAAAACTAAATCGTAATACAACTTAGTTAACTCAAACATAAATTATATAATGAAAAAATAATTTTGAAAAATGGTATTTTTGCAAAAATTTTGAAAAAATAATATTTTTGAAAAATAACACTTGAAAATTGGTATTTTTTGAAATTTCTGAAAAAAATTCATTCATATGCCCAATGTATCTAACTTTAATATACAGAGGACAGTTGCCCACACAAATTTTTAAAAGGAAACAAAATAATGTATTTATCTCAAATGTGTCTAATTTTTTTTCCTTTTTGCCAAAAAATGTGTCTAATTATATCTTAAAATATGTATGTAAAAAAAAAATTACGTGCTCACATATTTTCAGAAGAAAATATAATAACATTTATGTTGGTAATTTATTTTAAAAATCATAATTGTTTGGAATATATGTTAATTTTTTGGTTCATAATGTTATATATGATTTAATATTAGAATTTTCGAAATAATTATTATTGGTAAGTTAGGACTATTTCTATGTGTTTGGCAAATAGAGTAATAGCAATCAAAATAAGTAGATTTGGAAATATTTTTTTTTGGTAATAAATATAGAAGAATACAATAAATAAAAAAGAGAAAAAAAATTGTGGGAGTGACACATTATAAAAAAATAGTTCAAAATGTTTCTCTTTTAATATATAAAAGATATCCCAAAATATGATTAATTAATTAATTTACTCCAAAAATACGTAATGACTTGAAAAAAGCGATGTAGATCTACAAACGGCATGCAGTCTATATCACAAAGGGGAAAATGCAATCCGCCACTTTGATAGAGTAAAACGACACACAGTTCACTCTTCGAAAGCAAAAACAACAGAGCAACGAACCCTGAGATAAGCTTGAATTTGATGACCGATTTACATGAGCAAATCTGACGGATGTTTTTGCTCGAGATTCCGCCATGGAAGTCGCTTCAGTTCAAGGCCACGTTTCTTCTTCCCATCTTCCATGTATGGCCACTCCAATTGTACATCTTCGTTGATTATTTTGTGAATATAAACTGATTATTTTTCATAATCATGTTCTCAGATTATAGAAAACCCATTTGTTCATCACAGTCATCGTTGATTCGGGTAAGTTTTTCTTCGGATTCTTTGCTCTTGGTTGATCGATTCTCTATTAGTTTTCTGAGAAAATGATGGAATCTGCAATGGGAAAGCTTGATTAGGATTTGAACACTAGCAAGTTCTTCCTTCTTTTAATCGTCAAATTTGAATGTTACAATTGAAATCTTCTGCTTCTGTTGAGATTTGGATTGTTGGAATTAGTTGACTTTCAACTTTTCGAAGCTCTTGTTCTATCTTCTATGTAAGTTTTGTGAAATTCTTCTTATTTTGTCAACTTATCGGAAATGCAGAAATCTCCAGTTAAACGATGTTGTTTAGGTCGTGTTTCGAATGGCATGGTGAGCTTGAGTACATCCCTTCATGGTAAGGCAATCAAGATTTTTCTGATATCTAAATGAAGATAAATTCATTTCTTGATGTGGTTCTGTTGCTGGTATCTTTTCAATCAGTCTTTGTTCTGTATATAGAACTCATTCCTTTTTGGTTTTAAGATTTCGAGTTACTCCTCCAATATCTTTATTTCTAAGTGAGATGAATCTCTTAAGTCATTACTTGCTTCTTTTTTTAGCTGGTTCGAGAGGAAACTTCACGGGTGAAACAAGGTGTAATGGTGTACAATGGTGTAACCGCTCTTTAAGATGGGATCCTAACAAATTTCATGATAAGAAATCATATAGATTAAGTGAATTAGCGAGAAGTATCACCGTGAGATCGGATCTTTCAGGAGCTGCAACCCCTGAAGCTTCTTATCCGGAACCAGGTTTTTTTTTTTTTCGGCTAAACCTTTGTGAATCTGCTTTGCTAGATTAGAGCCAC